TGGGCAAACAGCCTATCAGATTCTTTAGCACTGAAGCATACACTTAGCCTAGTATGCAACAATTCCACACAGGAAAGCGTATGTTTAGAGAAAGACTCGTGCAAGAGTGTTCACAGCTGCTTCTTTCACAATAGCTCCAATTGGAGCGGACTCATGGGTAAGTAACTTTCGGTTCTTGAGTGAGCCCTGCACGCATTCTGAAACTTGGATGAATCTCCAAACAAGTACACTGAGCGGAAGAAGCAAAGACAGGAAGAGTACATGAGGGAACTTTCTGGAGAGAAGAGCTCTTTACTGGGATCTTACTTGCCCAGCTGTATGGCTCTGGTAAAAGCTCATTATATCGTATAGCCACGCTTACAAGGAATTTCACTGTAAGCAAACGCGCCTCAATAAAAATGTTCACAGAACAGTAAGTGGAGAGGTCATGATGGAGCACAGTAGTTTGAGCAGACCATTCAAGGAGAGATGAGAGAAGAGCCCAAGGCCAAGGTGAATTCAGGAGTGTCCAGGGGCTGCAGGAACAAAGGGCCAGAGGCCCCGCAGCCTTACCAGCAGCTGGGGGTCCAGGAGCCAGGGGCGGCAGGGCGGGCTCCTTCGGGACTGTGAGGAGAATATTCTCTGGGCCTCGCTGGCTCCCGGCGCTGCATCCTGAGCCCTCGTGTTCCATGGCCTCCTCCTGACGCACACGGCCATCCAGAGCCCCCTTCTCCCGAGGCACCAGTGCTTCTGGAGTCGGGGCCCACCTGGCTGCAGCATGACTGCGTGTCAGTCCTGCTCAGTACCTCTGCCACAGCCCTGTTTCCACGTGATGTTTTCTAAATGGCATTCCCAGGTACTGGGAGCTAGGACTCCCAACAGTTTGGGGCTGATATGGTTTGAATATGCCCACCAAAACATGTTGAAATTTAAACCCCACTGTGGACTATAAGAGGTGGGACGAGATGGAACTGTTAAGAGGTGATTCTGCAGCCCACCTAAAAGTAACTCAAATTCTACATATGTGGGTACTTCAAAAAGTTCATGGATGGGGCAGGTGTAATTTAGTCAGCATTTAGGACATGGCTTAAGACGCGTGCATCCCACACCAGGGTTCCCGGGATTCATTCCTAGCTCTGGCTCCTGGCTCGTCTCCTCCTATGCAGACCCTGGGAGGCAGCCATGACAGCTGAAGTAATTGGGTTCCTGTCACCCACATGGGAGACCTAGATTGAGTTCCTAGCTCCCAGGTTTGGCCTGGCTCAGTCCCAGCCCCCCAGCATTTCTGGAGTAAACTGGCAAACTGGGAAGCTCGCTCGCTCGCTCGCTCCCTCCCTCCCTTCCTCCTTCCGTCAAATAAATAAATATTAAAAAGAAAGTCCATGGATAAACGTCAGTGCTGGATGCAGACTGTGGCGGTACGGTTTGCTCTAAAGTTCATTCTTGGTTGCTTTTTACCAGCCATGGAGAGTGACTTATCTACGCCACTATGGGCATCACAAGGACAGGTTCGGCCACGAGTTCCTGGAGGTTGAGTTCCGACCCAACAGGAAAGTGAGATATGCCAACAGTAACAAATTACAAAAATTACGTCACGATTAGAAAAGAGGCTTAGGTACAGAGAAGGGAGATGGAGGAGCTGAAGAGAATAATTGATGATGGTGAAATGACCAAAGAAGATGTTGCTTTGCAGCCCCCTGCTGACTGAGTGGGCTGGCAGGGGCTTAAAGTTGTCATTGGAGAGGAACACATTTCTTTTACAACATCGAAACCTGGTTCCCTTATTGATATCAATCAATCCGAGGATCCAGAAGGCTTGCAAGTATCTTATCCTGTCCAGGACTTGAAGCCTTGGTGTTCATTCTTATCAGACTACACTTCAAGATTAAACCAATCCAGATTGAACATGAGGGGGTAGGAGCAGTTGTTTTTAATTACCATTTTCAGGAAATTTTGTGTATGTCAGGGTAATTTTTTATTTTTTATTTTTTAAAGATTTATTTATTCACTTGAAAGGCAGAGTTACAGAGAGGCAGAGGTAGAGAGAAAGAGAGAGGTCTTCCATCTGCTGGTTCACTCCCCAAGTTGCCACAATGGCTGGAGCTGAGATAGATGAACCGAAGCCAGGAGTTTCCTCTGGGTTCCCCCACACGGTTGCAGGACTTGGGCCATCTTCTATTGCTTTCCCACACCATAGCAGAGAGTTGGATCAGAAGTGCAGCAGCCGGGATTCAAACTAGTGCCCATATGGGATGCCGGCACTGCAGGCAGCGGCTTTACCCATTAAGCCACAGTGCTAACCCCAGTATAATATTTTTTATAAATGACAAACTATTGCCTAATAAACATATAATTAAAAAAAGGAAGCTCATGGAAGACTGAACTAAAAAAGTTTATTTTGATCTAAAAATTTGGAAACCCATATAAACAAGCAGTCTTCAAAAAGTTCATGAAGGGGGCCTGCGCTGTGGCATAGCGAGTAAAGCCACTGCCTGCAGTGCCGGCATCCTATATGGGGGCCAGTTTGAGTCCTGGCTGCTCCATTTCCCATCCAGCTCTCTGCTGTGGCCTGGGAAAGCAGTGGAGGATGGCCCAAGTCCTTGGGTCCCTGCACCCCTGTGGGAGACCAGGAGGAGGCTCCTGGCTCCTGACTTCAGACTGGCAGAGCTCTGGCTGCTGTAGTCATCTGGGGAGTAAAGTAGTGGATGGAAGACCTTTCTCTCTCTCTCTCTCTCTCTCTCTCTCTCTCTCTCTCTCTGTCTCTCTGCCTCTGCCTCTCTGTAACTCTGCCTTTCAAATAAATAAATAAATAAATCTTTTTTAAAAAAAGTTCAAGAAGGGCTGGCATCATGGCTCACTTGGCTAATCCTCCGCCTGCAGCGCCGGCACCCCGGGTTCTAGTCCCGGTTGGGGTGCCAGATTCTGTCCCAGTTGCTCCTCTTCCAGTCCAGCTCTCTGCTGTGGCCCGGGAGTGCAGTGGAGGATGGCCCAAGTCCTTGGGCCCTGCACCCACATGGGAGAGACCAGGAGAAGCACCTGGCTCCTGGCTTCGGATCAGCGCAGCGCGCAGGCCACAGCAGCCATTTGTGGAGTGAACCAACAGAAAAAGGAAGACCTCTCTCTCTGTCTCTCTCTCTCACTGTCTAACTCTGCCTGTCAAAAAAAAAAAAAGTTCATGAAGATGTACATTATGGGGCTGGCGCTGTGGTGCAGTGAGTAAAGCCACCACCTGCAATGCCAGCCTCCCATATGGGCACCGGTTCAAGTCCTGGCTGCTCCACTTCTGATCCATCTCCATGGTAATGCAACTGGGAAAGCATCAGAAATTGGCCCAATTGCTTGGGCCCCTGCCACCCATGTGGGAGACCTAGATGGAGTTCCTGGCTCCTGGCTTTGGTCTGGCCCAGCCCTTACTGTTGTGGCCATTTGGGCAATGAACCAGCGGATGGAAGACCTCTCTCTCTCTCTCTCTCTCTCTCTCTCTCTCTCTTTCTCTCTCTCTCACCCACCCCCATGACTCTGTCTTTCAGATAAATAAACCTCAAAAAAATAGAGAGGATGGGACTGGCGCTGTGGTATAGTGGGTTGGGCCACTGCTTTCAGTGCCACCATCCCATATAGGTGCTGGTTTGTGCCCTGACTGCTCCACTTCCAAACCAGCTCCTTGCTAGTGTGCCTGGAAAAGTAGTGGAGCATCGTTCAAGTGCTTGGGTCCCTGCAGCCATGTGGGAGACCCCAAATAAGCTCCTGGCTCCCACCTGGCCCGGTCATAGCCTCTGTGGCCATTTGGGAAGTGAACCAGTGGATGAAGAACTCTCTCCCTCTCTTTTTCTCTGTAACTCTGCCTTTCAAATAAATAAAATAAATCTTTAGGAGAAGTGCATAGTATGAAAAAAAAGTAGGGCTAGATTTCACAACTTTTTGTACCCGAATACAATTGCCTGTTAATTCCATTTCCATGAACTTACTTTTTTTTTTTTTAATTTTATTCACTTATCTGAAAGGCAGAGCCACAGAGAGAGGGAGAGACAGAGAGAGGTCTTCCATCCACTGGTTCACCCCCAAAATGGCCGCAATGGCTGGAGCCAGGCTGATCTAAAGCCAGGAGCCAGGAGCCTCTTCTGGGTCCTCCATGTGGGTGCAGAGGCCCAAGCATCCGGGCCACCCCCACACAGCTCCCCCAGGTCATCAGCAGGGAGCCAGGCTAGAGGAGGAGGAGGAGCCAGGACGGGAACCGGTGCCCACGTGGGATGCTGGCGCCACAGGCAGAGGCCCAGTCTACACACGCCACAGCACTGGCCCCTCCATGAACTCACTGAAGTATCCGCATACATGTAGACACTAAAAGGACTGCAGAGCTCTCATCTTCATGCACATGGCAGGATCGTTGGTTCGCTCGCACCACCCTCCCTGGCTGGGCTGTCGGGAGGATTCCTAGATGGTGGCGAGACGGGCCGCATGGCCCTCAGGAAGGATCCCGAGAGGAGTAGGGAGGATCCCTTGAGAGATCAAGTATGCCTCCACTTTTCTCAATCGGTGGGCCCTAGTCTTGCTCTAAGGGGAATAAAAGGAAGCCACTTCAAGGTGGGGAGAAAGCATTCACCAGAAGGCAGTCGTTTTTGACAAGAGTATCCAACACGCCACCTCGTGCCCTGGCTCAGTGAGGCATACGGCTGAGATGGGGCAGGCAGAGCTTCCCAGCAGACAGCGCCAGAACACAGCAGGTCCCTAACTGGGACCAGGTGCTGCAGACTTGTCCTACTGTGGTCAAGGGCAGCTGCTGTCTCACTGCCTTGGCAGAGCCCACCCAGCTGCATCCTTATTCGCCAGCAAGGGGCAAGGCAGGTGCAGGCCCAGCACAGGGCCCAGTGGCTAACAGAAGCATGAACCTGTCCTTCCCACGTGCCCTCACCCTGCCTCTGCAGCCCGCTCCCTCCCACTGTCCCACAGCGGAGGCCCGGGGGTTGTCCCTCACCTGCTCCTAGTCCCCCGCGCCATGGCGTGAGAAAGGCTTGCCTCACCTGCATTTCTCCTCCTGCAGGGACTCCAGGGACAACTGCAGGTCCATCAGATACTTGTGCTTCAGGCTCTGACAGGACACCTGCAGGCTAGAGGGGAGCTGCTTGACTTCTTTCAGCTCTCCCTTGGCTTGGTGCAACAGCAAGTTCCGATGCTGGGCCCCACACCTTGGCTCTGGGAACTTCCCCGGCTGGGAGCCTGCAAGGCAGCTCTCTGCACCATCCTGCCGGCTGGCGGCCAAGCTCTCCTTCCGGTCCTGCGTCGGGGACTCACAGCTGTTGCCCTGCTTGCCCTCTGCCTTCAGCACTGAGTCCTTGGGCCTGTAGCCTTCCTCCAGCTCCCGCAGCTGCTGGTGACACTGACGGAGCCTTCGCTCGATCTGCGCGATGGTGGCAGAGGTGCGCTGGTTCACCTTCTCAAAGGCCTGCCGGATGTGCGGGGCCTGGTGCCGGTCAGCTCTGGACACCAGCTTGAGGTAGCCCATGGTGTTCTCATCCCGACTGGTCTTCTCCACCCGCAGCTGCTCTGCCAGGTAGAGGATGCGGTGCTTGATGCTGTCCTGCAAGTTTCGGGCAAGCTCCCCATTCAAGAGGCTGGACTGACCACTGGGGCCATCCTCGCTGGATGACAGGGACCTGCAGGAAGGCACGCTGGATGGGAGGCTTGTGCTTGGGCTCTTGGCATATTCTGTCTGCAGGGGGAAACAAGAAATCCAAGTAGGTGTTCTGCAAGCTGCAAACACTAGGAGAATCGCACGTGTTCCCTTCGCTCCACAGAAAGCCTTACACATAAACACTGACACACGTGTGCACCATGGGTGCTTTCAAGACAGCACAGCACAGCCTGGGGAAGTGGAGTTCATCTTCCAGACCCCCCCCCCATTTCAGCACTGACTCCTTCCTCTATGGGTGCACCTGACCATGTGCCCCACAGATGGCCAGACTCTCCCCTCCACATCTGCCCAGCCTGTTCCTGGACCTCTCTCCCTATTTTCTCTTCCAAGAATTACCAATCTTGGGTCTCATCTATAAAGAAGTGTTCTTATAAAACAGAGAACACAGGGGCCGATGTTGCAGATGAGGCTGTCGCATGTGACGCCAGCAACCCATATGGACGCCAGTTCATTTCCCAGCTGCTCCAGTTCCCTGCTAATGGCCTGGGAAAAGCAGTGGAAGATGGCCCAAGTACTTGGGCCCCTGCCACTCATGTGGGGGACCTGGATGAAGCTCCTGGCTCCTGGCTTCCACCTGGCTCAGTCCTTCCCATGGCAGCCAACTGGGGAGTGAACCAGCAAATGGAAGACCTTTCTCTCTCCCTCTCTGTAACTCTTTCAAATAAATAAATACATAAATGTTTTTTAAAAATAGAGAACACATGCATTCCCATGAGCCTTTTTGGCTTGCCATATTGTTACTCCCAGGGAGATAGAAGAGTAGGCAGAGAGATCTGCATGCTTATAGGATCATTCATTCAATCATGCATTCAATGCATTTTTCCTGAGCACACACCATGTGGTATGGAAGCCAGCCAGACTCACTCCTGCCTCAGAGGAAAATGCTACTGTAGCACAAAAGACTGTGTTTCTAACATAGTGAGGGACAGCAATGCCTTTGAGACAGAGCCAAGTTCAAATCCAGGCTCCACTACTGAGACCTGAGCAAGTCATAAACCCCTCTGAGGCTCTGTTCACTTAGCTCCAAAGGGAGCTGGGACCCACAGGCAGGGTAGAGGGAAGTCAAGGTACTTGAAGAGAGAAACAGAGGCCAACTAGGTGGAGCCTCTTTCTGTTTCTACTGTGAAAGTATAAGAGTGCTCTCGGGAGCTGACACTGTGGCATAGCAGGTTAAGCCTCTCCTGTGGAGCCGGCATCCCATCCATCCCATCCCATATGGATGCTGGTTTGCATCCTAGCTGCTCCTCTTCCGATCCAGCTCTCTGCTGTGGCCTGGGAAAGCAGTGGAGGATGGCCCAAGTCCTTGGGCCCCTGCACCCACATGGGAGACCTGGAGGAAGCTCCTGGTTCCTGGCCTCAGATCAGCACAGCTTTGGCCATTGCAGCCGTTTGGGGAGTGAACCAGTGGATAGAAGACCTCTCTCTCTCTCTCTCTCTCTCTCTCTCTCTCTCTCTCCCTCCCCCTCTCTCTGTCTGTAACTCTACCTCTCAAATAAATAAAATCTTTAGAAAAAAATCAATAAATGGGTATTCTTAAAAAAAAAGAATGTATAAGTGCCTTCACGATGATGTGCCATTAGAAACTACTTTTTCAGTGGCAACTCAGAAGTGCTTGTTTGGTAATACAAGTAGATAACTTTGTTATGTGTATTTTATTGTATGTAAATTATACCTTGACGTAAAAAATACAATGTGATACCACTACACACTTTGCAAAACTTAGGCGAACAATAATAAATGTTGGCAATGACGTGGAGCAATAGAAACTCTCAATCATGACTGGTTGGGAGAGTAGACGGGTGCCACCGTTTTGGAAAAGCATTTGGTTGTATTCCAAAGTCGAATACATGCATATGGAAGGGCCCAGAAATTGCATCTATAGGCAATATCCCCTGGAGACAGGTACACTAATGTTCCAATAACCATTACTGGAAGCAACTCACCGCTCCATCAAGACTAGAATGTGTAATATATTCAACAATGCACTACTATTCAGCCATGAAAATAAAGAACGGATTCGAAAAAACATTAATGGGGGCTGGCGCTGTGGTGCAGCGGTTTAAAGCCCTGGCTTGCAGTGCCAGCATCCCATATGGACACCGATTCAACTCCCAGCTGCTCTACTTAAGATACAGCTTCCTGCTAATGTGTCCGGGAAAGCAGTGGAAGATGGCCCAAGTCCTTGGGCCCCTGCACCCATGTGGGAGAGCTGGAAGAAACTCCTGCCTCCTGGCTTTGGATTGGCTCAGCTCCAGTTGTTGTGGCCATTTGGGGAGTGAACCAGCTGATGTAAGACCTCTCTCTCTCTCTGTGTGTCTACATCTCTGTAACTCTTTCAAATAAATAAAATAAATCTTGAAAAAACATGAATGAATTTTATAATCATAACACTGGACAAAAAATAAACCAAACAAAAACAAAGCCACGTGATTTCTTTTATATAAATTTCAAGAGCAGGGAATGCTAAATAGTATTACAAACAGATGCCTTCGCATCTGGTAGCAGAGCTACACAAAGGTATGCACATTAGCAGCATACATGTCAGCATGGTGGTTCCCACAAGGGGGAAGAAAGGGGGTGTGGCTGGAGGGAGGGGGACATGTGGAGGCTGGGACACCTGGGCTTAGTAGTGGTTAAATGTGTGCTCACCTTCTCATTAGTCCTTTTTTTTTAAAAAAAAAAAATTTATTTATTTGAGAGGTAGAGTTACAGACAGTGAGAAGGAGAGACAGAGAGAAAGGTCTTCCAACCACTGGTTCACTTTCCAGTTGGCCACGATGGCTGGAGCTCGAAGCCAGGAGCCAGGAGCTTCCTCCGGGTCTCCCACGTGGGTGCAGGGGCCCAGGCACTTGGGCCATCCTCCACTGCTTTCCTAAGCCATAGCAGAGAGCTGGATTGGAAGAGGCGTAGCCAGGACTAGAACCGGCGCCCATATGGGATTCCAGCACCGCAGGTGGAGGATTAACCTACTGCACCACAGAGCTGGCCCTCATTAGTCCTTAAAATACATGTTGATGTGCTGTGGTATAGTGTATAAAGACACTGTTTGCAGTGCCGGCATCCCATATGGGCGCCGGTTCAAGTCCTGGCTGCTCCACTTCTGATCCAGCTCTCTGCTGTGAACTGGGAAAGCAGCAGAAGATGGCCCGAATTCTTGGGCCCCTGCACCCACATGGGGGACCCGGAAGAAGCTCCTGGCTCTTGGCTTCGGATCAGAGCAGCTCCGGCCGCTGTGGCCAACTGGGGAGTGAACCAGTGGATGGAAGACTTCTCTCTCTCTGCCTCTCCTTCTCTCTGTGTGTAACTCTTTCAAAATAAATAAATTTTTTTAAAAAAGAAAGTCATCCTTTAAAAAATACATGTTGATGTTTTCTGCACCTTTGTATGCGTATGCCAGATTTCAGCATTTTAGAAAGTTTTAAAATGTTCAACAGAGGGGGTGGGCGCCATGGCTCACTTGGTTAATCCTCCGCCTGTGGTGCCAGCATCCCATATGGGCACCAGGTTCTAGTCCCGATTGCTCCTCTTCCAGTCCAGCTCTCTGCTGTGGCCCCGGGAAGGCAGTGGAGGATGGCCCAAGTGCTTGGGCCCTGCACCCACACGGGAGACCAGGAGGAAGCACCTGGCTCCTGGCTTCAGATTGGTGCAGCTCCGGCCGTAGCGGCCATTTGGGGGATGAACCAATGGAAGGAAGACCTTTCTCTCTTTCTCTCACTGTCTAACTCTGCCAGTTAAAAAACAAACAAACAAAAAAAACAAAACAAAACAAAAAAAAACAAACCAGAAATGGAGTACATGCCCAGAATGCAGCAAAGGGGCACAAAGAAACCAAAAATTTGAAAAAGCATGAGAAGGTATAACAAAACTCTAATTACTGTGTCAGAGACAGCAGACAGAATCTCATATTTATTTGTGTTTTTATTTACTATTTGCTAGAGTGTGAGAGTGAGCTCCCATCTGCTGGTTCACTCACCAAGTGCCTGTAATGGCTGGGGTCGGGCTAAGGCTAAAGCCGGGAGCTGGGAACTCAGTCTAGGTCTCCCACGTGTGTGGCAGGAACCAAACTACTTTGCACCATCACCGTTGCCTCCCAGGGTCTGCATTAGCAGGAAACTGGACTCAGGAGCTAGAGGGAGAGATCAAACCCAAGCACTCTGACGTGGAATGTGGGTGTCTTTTTATTTTTATTTTTTTAAGATTTATTTTATTTGAAAGGCGAAGTTAGAGAAAGAGAGAGAGAGGAAGAGACAGAGAGAGGGGTCTGACATCTGCTGGATCACTATCCAAATGGCCACAATGACCAGGACTGGGCCAGGCCAAAGCCAGGAGCCAGGAGCTTCTTCTGTATCTCTCATGCTGGTGCAGGGGCCCAAGCACTTGGGCCATCTTCTGCTGCTTTCCTAGGCACATTAGCAGGGAGCTGGATCAGCAGTGCAGTAGCCAGACTCAAACCAGTGCCCATATGGGATGCCCAGGCAGCAGCTTTGACCACTATACCACAGTGCCAGCCCTAGATGTGGGTGTCCTAAGCATCATTTTAACCTCTAAGCCAAATGCCTTCCCCAGGAGCACTATTTTAAGAGATAATCCCTAAGAACTTTCGAGAACTGGTGAAAGACACAAATCCACAAATTCAAGTAGCCCAATACATCCCACGTGGGAAAAACAAAAATAGGTCCACCCAAGAGCTTAAGAGCTGCTGGCGAAAGAATGCCAATTACCTTTAAAACCATGACTTTCAGAATACAAGCTGACTCCTCAACAGCATCGATGAAATGCAGAAGACAGTTGTACAATACCTTCAATATGCTGAGGGAATGACTGTTGGGAAGAAACAAACTGGTCACATTCAAAGGATCAGAACCCAGAATGTCTTCAGACTTTTCAAACAGCGACCACAGGGGCACAATGGAATTTCTTAGGGAAAAGTAATTTTCCAACCTGGAATTCTACACTCAGGTTGTCAACTATCCGTTTAGGCTGAAGACACTTTCAAGGGCCAGCACTGTGACGCAGTGCATTGAGCCACCGCCTGTGATACTGGCACACCATATGAATGCCAGTTCGAGTCTTAGCTGCTGCACTTCAGCTCCCTGGAAAGCAGCAGAAGATGGCCACTGCACCCACTTGGGAAACCCGGACGAAGCTCCTGGCTCCTGACTTAGGCCTGGCCTAGCCCTGGTGATTGCAGCCATTTGGGGAGTGAACCATCAGATGGAAGACCTCTCCCTCTCTCACTCCCTCTTTCTCCATAACTCTGCCTTTCAAGTAATACATAAATATTTAAAAAGCAGACATCTTCAGACCTGAAAGAAGCCATAGTTTGCCTCCTCTACATTCTTCCTCTGGAAACTACCAGAGAAAGTGTGCCACCAAAATCAGGGAGTACCCCAATGAGAAGGTGCGGATGGGATTTAGCAAGCAGGGAACCCAGGACCAGAGAGAGGCAAAGATAATCTCCAATCTGGCAAAAGGAGATGCCACAGCTGGCATTTGGCGCAGCAGTTAAGCAGCAGTTAAAATGCTCTGTGGGACGCCCACATCCTATATCAGAGTGCCTGAGTTTAAATTCCAGCTCTGCTTCCGATTCTAGCACCCTGCTAATGCACACCCTGGGAGGCAGCGATGATGGCTCAAGTACTCGTGTCCCTGACACCAACCTGGGAGACCTGGATGGAGCGCCAGGTGCCTGCCTTCCACACGGCCCAACCCTGGCTGTTGTGGGCATTTGAGAGTGAACCAGTAGGTGGGAGGCCTGTCTGTATCTCTTTCTCTGTCTCTCAAATAAATAAATGTGTAAATAAAACTTAAAAAAGGAGAGAAAAGACCCAAATCTGTAAAATCAAAGATAGTAATGAAAATGTAACAACTGACACAATAGAAATAAAAAGAATCACCAGAAACTACTACAAAGAGATGTATGCTAACAAATTGGGGAACCTGGAAGAAATGGGTAGATTCCTGGACAAATACAACCTTCCTAAACTGAGCCGTGAAGATATAGAAAATCTAAACAGACCCATAACCATAGAAGAAATTGAATCAGTAATAAATGCACTACCAAAAAAGAAGAGCCCAGGACCGGATGGCTTCACTGCCGAATTTTACCAGGCATTTAGAGAACAACTAACCCCAGTTCTTCTCAAATTATTCCAAACGATTGAAAGAGAGGGAATCCTCCCAAATTCCTTCTACGAAGCCAATATCACCTTAATTCCTAAGCCCGGAAAAGACACAGCAGAGAAAGAAAACTACAGACCTATCTCCCTGATGAACATAGATACAAAAATACTCAATAAAATTCTGGCAAACCGAATCCAACTACACATCAGAAAGATCATTCACCCGGACCAAGTGGGATTTATCCCTGGTATGCAGGGATGGTTCAATATTCGAAAGTCAATCAACGTAATCCAGCACATTAACAATTTGAGACAAAAATCATATGGTTATCTCAATAGATGCAGAGAAAGCATTTGATAAAATACAACACTCCTTCATGATGAAAACCCTAAGCAAATTGGGGTTAGAAGGAACATTCCTCAACACAATTAAGGCAATCTATGATAAACCAAAGGCCGGCATCATATTGAATGGGGAAAAGTTGGAGGCATTTCCATTGAAAACTGGCACCAGACAGGGATGCCCACTCTCACCATTGCTATTCAATATAGTCCTAGAAGTCTTAGCCAGAGCCATCAGGCAAGAAAAAGAAATTAAAGGGATACAAATGGGAAAGGAGGAAGTTAAACTATCCCTGTTTGCAGATGACATGATACTATATATAGAGGACCCAATAAACTCCTATAAGAGGCTACTGAAACTCATAGAAGAGTTTGGTAAAGTAGCAGGATACAAAGTCAATGCTCAGAAATCAACAGCCTTTGTATACACAGACAATGCCAGGGCCGAGGAAGAACTACTAAGATCAATCCCATTCACGATAGCCACAAAAACAATAAAGTACCTTGGAATAAATTTAACCAAGGAGGTCAAAGACCTCTATGATGAAAATTACAAAACACTAAAGAAAGAAATAGAAGACGACACAAAAAAATGGAAAAACCTGCCATGCTCATGGATTGGAAGAATCAATATCATCAAAATGTCCATTCTCCCAAAAGCAATTTACAAGTTCAATGCAATACCAATCAAAATACCAAAGTCATTCTTCAAAGACCTAGAAAAAACGATGCTGAAATTCATATGGAGAAACAGGAGACCCAGAATAGCTAAAGCAATCCTTTACAATAAAAACAAGGCCGGAGGTATCACAATTCCAGACTTCAAAGCATACTACAGGGCAGTTATAATCAAAACAGCATGGTACTGGTACAAAAACAGATGGATAGACCAATGGAACAGAATAGAAACACCGGAGATCAATCCAAACATCTATAACCAACTCATATTTGACAAAGGACCTAAAACCAACCCCTGGAACAAGGACAGCCTCTCAACAAATGGTG